TGTTAATATTACTGGTTTTAAGTGTGAGAGAAAGATATGCCTATTTTATCTAACAAGTGGAAGTGAAATTAATGAACACGAAAGCGAAAGAAATGAAGTTTAACCCTAACCCTATTTTCTGGGCTTTTCGGTGAATCAATCATTCCTGGAAAGAAATCTTTGTATTATTTCTATTTTTTTTCTAATTTCGAAAAATTATAAATTCTAAATTCTATATATATTTCTAATTTATATATATAAAAATGAATTATCTAAATTCTTATATTATAACATATATTAATATAGAATTAAGAAAATTTTTTTTAATTAAAATAATTTTTTATTTTTATATATTTATATAATTTATTTTTATAAATTTTAGAATGGATTTTTTTATTTATTTTATTTTTATAGGCGATTTAGAATGAAATGTTTTATGAATATAAGAATCACCAACAAATTCTAATGGCAATCATGAAAGACGGAAAGATTCTTCGAACCTAGTCATACATCGTGATATTGACAAATTTCAAAAAACTCCTCATAACTATGAGCAAGTATTGCTGGCGTCGGGCAAATGTCCCCCATCGTCTAGTGGGTTCAGGACATCTCTCTTTCAGGAGCAGCGGGATCGAAACTTCCCTGGGGGGTCAGGGTATTACGAAAGGAAGTTGATCATGGATTATTAATAAGTCTGGAATTGATTCTCTGGGGTCGATGCCCGAGCGGTTAATGGGGACGGATCGTAAATTCGTTTGGCAATATGTGGTTCAAATCCAGCTCGGCCCAATAATTCGCTGATCCGCCATAACCTAAAATGCCCATTTTTTGTATTTTGTTTTCCCGAAAAGCCAAACAAAAAAATTAGGGAAGAATAAAAAAAGTCCAATTTTGTGAAAAAAAAAAAAAAAAAAAAAAAATCAACCTGGCTTGCAAATATGGACAGACCTATTCTCCCAATATACGTTTTTGATGAATTGAAATTAAATGATGGGTAGTTTAAGAAAAAGAGTAATGTAAAGAACAAAAAGGAGTCTTTGAAAGATTTTTTTTATTATCAATCCACTTTGATTTGAAATAACGAAAAGATGACTAGCAATCCATGTCCCTTCTATTACTAAAGTGGATATCCAAATGTGGATATAAATATACCACTCCCGTTTCTATTCTAATCTGGTGATTCCAATCTAAAATTTAAATAGAAAAATAGAAAGGGTTCGAATAAAATCGTAAGAATATGTATGTTGTACATTTTATTGCATTTCTCTGGGATTGTAGTTCAATTGGTCAGAGCACCGCCCAAAATAATCATGAGTACCTACGATATTATAAGTTTCTTCCTCTTAACCGAATCTGTAACCTTCATTAGCAAATTCATTTTCTATGGTTTCCTTGAACTACCAAAGCGTTTCTTATAAATCTAATTCTGAAATTCCATCTAGTAAAACAAAAGAATTATAAATTTCTAAAATAATAAATAGGAATATCGCAAATAGAGCCATTGCAACACCCATCAAGAGAGTGGTTCCCCATCCAGGAGCTACTTTACCATATTTCAAATTCAATGGTTTCAATAAATCCCCTACAACAGTTCAGTGGATGAAGGGAGAAACTTCTCGAAGGAGGAAAAAGATCCAATGACTTCGAAAGAATTGAACGAGGAGCTGTATGAGGTGAAAATTTCATGTGCGGTTCTGTAGAGTAGCAATAAAGGTGACTTATCTGTCAACTTTTTGGAAAGAATTGGGCCAAATTTTCCCAACCAACCAACCACTATCTGCCTTTATCATTTAACTGCCAAGCTTGAATCAAAACCATGTTATGCACAACTAAGCCTCGTTTGGTTCAAGTTCATCTACTTTTTGGGATTTCGTGAAGTTCGATCCAAGGAAGTAAAGTTTCAAGAAAATTACTTTCAGGGAAATACAATGTGCTTGTATTTAGTTGATATATTGACTTCCTGAAAAATAAAATTGTTTTAATAAAATTTTATATATGAATGTCAATAATACCCTACCATGAAGTTGAATATATCAATTGAAATAATTCATTGAAAATATTTATGAAGCAAGGGCAAAGTTTTCTAATTTCTAGAGCTCAAGAAGTTCACTTTCTTGGGTTGAGGGGTAACTTACTTCTTGTATGGTCAAGGAAAAAAGAGTTTCAAGTTAAAAAAAAAAAAAAAAAAAAGAAGAAAGTTTATCTATATAAAAAGAATGGAGTCAGTATTCGTATATTGTTAATTATTAATTAATAATTATTATATCTATAGATATTCATATATGTCGATTTTTGATAGGTGGAAAAAATTATGGTTTTTAATATTATTAAATTTTTTTTTTGCCTATAATTATATTTTGCGACCGACTAGCGACCAAACTGCAACCAAATTATAACCGTTAAATTTAAATTTGCGACAGATCAACAACCAATCACTTTCAAAATTTGTGATCGATTTACGACTGCTTTTCATAATTGCGACCGACACTTTCTGCGACCGATTTGCGACAAGCTTCCAAAAGGAAAACACGATGAAAATTAGTGATCGATATTTATAATTTTACGATCGCAATCTTTCTATGTTAAACTATTCAATTCTCGACGATGAATCGATTTGATAGCTCAGATATTGTTATTTGTAATATTGATCAGACTCGATATCATCGAGATGGAATTCATCCCGTTGAATTTAGAGGCGAAAGACTTATTATCCCTATGGGATTAAATCCTGAGTTATTGCAAAGAAAAAAAAAGAAACGTTGAGATTATGGAAGTAAATATTCTTGCATTCTTTAACATTTAAACTTTTTATAAAATAATTATATAATTTATCTAACTAGTATGGGATTATGATATAATTATCATTCAATATAAACTGTGCAATACAAAATAAATTTTCATTCAAAAATTGAATTAAATTATCTATTATTCAATATATACGGAGGTTCGGTTTAGACAAAGATTTCACCATAGAATTATAAATCGAACCGAAAGCTCATTTTTTTTTTTTTTTTTTTTTTTTTTGATAGTATGATTAGAAAAGAATATAGAAATATATTTCTTTCCTATCATACTATCTATTTTTGTTTTCTAGTGTATAAAGTTGGACTGTAAATAAAGATATAGGCTTTAAATATAGAGATAGATTAAGCTATAATATATCCTCTCATATTCATATATCTAGAATAATCATATATCTATATGTAATGTACAGAACGTCCGCAATTCTAATTTCTTCATCTATTTGATTTGTGTTTGATGTCCAATTAATCTGAAATAGGTCGAAAGGCACACTCTTACTTTACGAAATTCTTAAATTCCTAGATTTCGCGATGATTTTCAATATGAATCCTTGCGTTTACCGGAAAGAAGTAAAATCAAATGAAAAGGAAAAAAATATATGAATCATATATTAAATTTTAAATTAATAAAAGAAAAATCAAGAATCTTTTTTTTAGCATTTCGAAGAAAAGTAATTTGATTGATAATAGTTTGGCAGATTGTCCAAGGAAGGAAAGTTCTTATAAAATTTTTTAAAGATTTCAACGAAAAGGATTAGTAAACCCTGCGATTTTTAACCATTTAATCATGATATGAAATGAAGCCAAAGTCAATAAGGTAATAAGCAATAAATCGCAATATTTAAAATAATAAAACTAAATACTAAACGCAAGCACATTAAAAGCAAAGAAAAATCTTCTTAGTAATACGTTAAGTATCCCATGGAGAACCACTATGTCTATGTCCCTATCTTATTTCCATAGAAAATTCACTTAAATTTAATCACTTTTCAATTTTTAATAAAAAAGCTGCTTTTAAAAGAGCTACTTTTCTTTAATACTTTTAATAACAAGAACGGCGTTTCCTTTTCTCTTTGAACAGGAAAGAGGTAAACAAAAAAAACAAAGAAAAAAAGATTGGAAAAAAATTTTATCATTTGTATTTTCCTTTTACTTTTCGAATGTATTGACACGAGAAGTCCGTTGAAATTTTTTTTTTTGATTAGATTAAAAGGGTATATTCATATATTAATTATTTTATATTAATATTTATAGAATACATTACTTCACTAAAATCCAAATAGAATTTGGAAATGAAAGATATTTTGAATTCAATTTCTAAATTTGTAATTTGTAAGAATTTAGAAATTGAATTAAATAAGTTAAATAATTGATTGAATTCATATTAAACAAGTTAAATTTAAAAATCTTTGCAGAATGATCTATAAAACAATCCGATACAAGTTTTGATTTCTCAACTCAATTAAGTAGTACCCCTAGAGTCCACTTCCGTTCCCCCAGTACTACGAGTTGAAAGGGAAAATGTAAAGACTATCCCCCCCCCCCCACCATTAAAGCAGCCCAAGCGAGACTTACTAATATCCCATGTGAATTATGTCCCTCTATCTCTAT